CAAAATCGACAATTATGGATTTCTGGCATGATGCTGGAACTTGTGGGATGGGAGAAAAAGCAAAAGGCATCACAAAGTCGTGTTAAAAGATTTGTTGTTTCAACCAGGAGTTGTCTTCCACATTTAAAGTAGTGGCATGTTGTCCCTGCAGGTTGTCTGGTTTTTGCTGGCTGGTGTCCAATGGAAATTCTCCTATTGCTTGACCTCCCATGTCTCACAGAATTCTCCAATTTTGCGATTTCGCAATTTGTGTTTCGTGGCTTTTGCGGGTGTTCCGTGCTCTGGGATTTGGCCGCTCTTGCAGACGCCTCTACCGCTCTACTCGGTATCATTCCGCGAATATTTTCTACCTTATGTATTCTAATTTCAATGTATTTTCTACCTTCAGGTTGAAAAGATTTCTAATTGGATTTAACCTTCAAAGGGTTCGTGTAGGGAAGCATGAAAGAAGAGAGCTCTTCGAAATACCAAGTTATCACCGAAAGTCTTTCCCATTTAAGCGAAATCCAACGTCACTTTGTGACAGCTATCCCACCAGACCCTGATGTCATTTCATTATCTGTATGCAGGGCAGCAGCTCAAGAGATATAGCTCTGCAAAATGATCGCATTACCGGTACTTTTGTACCGGAATCTGTACTGACAGGCTGGCGTCCGATGACAAGCTCTTCTTAGTAGACGTTCTAGAAGTATTGGAGACATTCGATTTGAAATCGGAGCAAGAGTTCCTGCTCTGTATGGAAATGTGTTCAATAACCATGACCTCACTGAAGAATGGAGCCCTGCTAGACTTCAGTTTCTGTACAAAGAAATATATTTTTCGTAGAAACCACTGCATTTCCGTTTTGACCGCAAAATCACACTAAAAACTATTTTCATCAATAAACTTAGTAACACCATCAAAATGCCTGCAGCACCAGAACAATTCGAGGGTTTCATGATCAATGATACTAAGAACTGGAGTACTTTCAAGAAGGGAAAGGTGTGTACTACAAACAGATTCCCAAGGTTGGCTACTGACAGACTTCAGTTCACTCCCAAACACTTCGAAGAGCACGATGTAGATATCGAGAGCGAATGCTGTGGTGTTTGCGGTTCTGATGTCCACACCATAACAGGAGGGTGGGGCGAGCTCGCCACCACTCCTCTCTGCGTCGGCCACGAGATTATCGGAAAGGTCCTGCGAGTTGGGTCAAAGGTCACTACAGTCAAGCCAGGAGATCGTGTAGGTGTTGGAGCTCAAGTTCAGGCATGCATGAAGTGCAAGCTGTGCAAGTCAGATAACGAGAACTACTGCCCACACATGGTTGGTATGTTTAAATATAACTCGTTGCAAAGTATATTAAGGCTAACAATATCAAAGATACATACAACGCACCATACAACGAAGATGAAGGCCACTCCGACAAACCCATGAAAGACAAAAACGGCAACCAAATCTTCTCCCAGGGTGGCTACTCCTCCCACTACCGCGCCCACGAATACTTCGTCTTCCCCATCCCCGACTCCATCCCCTCCCACGAAGCCGCTCCCATGATGTGCGCCGGCCTAACCACCTTCTCCCCACTCGTCCGAGCCGGCGTCGGACCCGGATCAAAAGTCGCTATCCTCGGAATCGGCGGCCTAGGTCACTTCGGCCTCCTCTGGGCCAAAGCCCTCGGCGCCGAAGTCTGGGCTTTGTCCCATACACCAAATAAGAAAGAGGAGGCGCTCAAGTTGGGCGCTGACCACTTCGTCTCAACGGGCGACAAGAACTGGGCTGAACCCCTCGCCTTCACTTTCTCCTTCATCCTCAACTGCGCAGACATGACGAACGAATTCGACCTGCCTACCTACATGTCCACCTTGGATATCAAGGGAGAATTCCACAATGTCGGACTCCCAGATCAGCCATTACCGCAGATTAAATCTCAGGCGTTTGCGTCTAATGCGGCGAAGTTGACGGGGAGTCATATTGGGAATCGGCCGGAGATGTTGAGCATGTTGAAGCTGGCGAGTGAGAAAGGGTTGAAGCCGATGATTGAAACGATTGATATTAGTGAGGAGGGGTGTAAGAAAGCTGTGGAGAAGGTTAAGGTTAATGATGTTCGGTATAGGGTTACGCTTATCGGGTTTCATGAGGTGTTCGGGACCGGAAAATCATGAGGGGCGAAATTTATATAAAGTGACTGTAAAGTAGATTATCGCCTATTTTCGTTGCAGGATATTACGGGCCTTGTATAATTCAAAATTGTTTCCTCTTTCTGACTTCTGCTTCCGGTGATTCAGACAACTTGGTCTTTCACTTCCTTATCCTTATCCCTCATCGACTCAAGGGTAATGGAAAATGCTCAAATTTGAGTGTTAGAAACACGCACGCTTACCTTCCCATTTCATTCTAGTACCACTTAATCATTTCAGCAATCAATGCCCACATGTCTCAAATACACCTTTCGGCGAAGTGGATATCCACTTTTTAATAATGTCTCAAGGAGGTCAATGATCTTGCATTTCCTAGTAGGTTTCAGTGTTGAATCCCCAAAACATCATTTTCCCTATGCAAAGTCCTAGATTATGAGTCTCTAGCTGCTGGGCAGAGTTACGATAACTCACATCTCAACTTTTAGATACTCCACCCCACATACCCGGCTATGCCACTTCAACGTTGGAGTGAGCTTTCAGGAAATTGCAAATGAACTTGCTATGGACGGATGCTGAAATCCCGCAACTATTCTCGAAATCCTTGGATAGCTGACTTTACAGCATCTTAAAAAGGCATCGACTCTGATCGACAACGATATCCAAGGCAGATTCCAATTAAACTTCACCCCAACGTCAAAATGTCTAACAAACACCGGGGAGAAGTGTGTAAGTACCGGTAGGCACGTGCTAGTGGCAGATCCAGGCATCAGCCACACCGCTGATCATTCTCCACATCCCTGGCGGAATGACGTTGCTTAGACGCATTACAATATTTTGCCAACAACTTCTCTCTTGTTTTACGCGCATCAGTGGCATCGACTCGTGCAATTTGGACACAGCATGTGAAATGATTCAAATGACAACGAATGAGGATTGAGATGAAAAATGAGCTAACTTAAAAGAACAAAGAAAAGCGCCCCAAATGTCTCCAAACGGTCAAGTATGAAGCACGAGATGGCATTCGTCATATCCGTGTCACTCCCTGCGATCGAGGGGAAGACCCTGAGATTCGAGCCTGAGCTAAGTCACGCATCGACCTGTCCGGCGTTTGATAGGGCGAAGCGAGTTGAAAATCCTGTTCTGAGTGGATGACAAGCGATGATGTATGCCTGCACATTGATGAATGATGGTCTTCCGCTTGCGGCTTGTCCTTTGATCATATATCACCGCTTCTCCAGATACCTTTGTTTCAAGTCAAGGTCAAGAACAAATAACCACAACTACATATTTCTACAAACGGCAAACGAATAGGAAGTCAATATGGCTTTCGGTCTTGCTCTCAAATCCCTCTCGTGGTTCTTACGCGCCATTGAGTTCTGCTGCGCTGCAATCATCCTCGGCATTTTCTCATACTTCCTCGCAACTCTTCACAACCATGATTTGGGTATTTCTACCTGGATTCGAGCTGTCGAGGGTATCTCTGGAGCTGCAGTCCTCTACACTCTCTTTGCTCTCCTCTTAGTCTGCTGTCTCGGAGGCATCGCATTCATCTCTTTATTGGGCATGATTCTTGATCTTGCCTTCACTGGAGCTTTCATCTATGTTGCTTGGGCTACTCGAGGAGGAGCATCCAGCTGCAGGGGATTTGTCAATACGCCATTCGGAAGCGGAAACACCAATACAAACAACAGAGTTGCCAGCGGAACTGATGGCTTCACTCGCTTGCCAAGCTTGAGAACAGCTTGCAAGCTCCAGACTGCGACCTTTGCTGTTGCAATCGTTGCATGGTAAGTTTAATCTAATCTCCATTCCTCACCAAATTGCTAAGAAACCCCTAGCGTCTTCTTCTTCCTCTCAATTTTCGTCGAATTCGGCCTCATCAAACACCGCCGCAAGGAGAAGGCTTTCGGCCCATCCCCCAACAACGGCTACACAGCTGGCACCCCAAAGCGCAAGTTCTGGCAACGCAAGCGTAAGAACCGCGATATGGAACGTGTTGCTGGCGAGAAGCCAGATGCTCTCCCCATGCACGCTACGCCTGCGGATACAAGAACTAGCTATGCTACCGAGAGCACTGCTGTTGGAAATGAGCCCGTGTATAACAAATATGGTTCTACTGCCGCGGGTGGATTAGGTACGGCTCACAATACGAATGGAACTGCTGGTTATGGTCATCAGACTACTACGACGCATATTCCTCACACGCATGGTGCTAACAACAACACTGGAATTCCTCACACCCATGGTGTTAACAACAACAGTGGAACTTACCAAACTTACAATGGTAATCCAGCTGGTACTTTCTAGTGAAGAACGATTGAGGTTGGCCAGAACGGCTGGGGAAAGGAAACGGATTGGGGATGGGAATGTATATTATGCTGCATATGCTCGCGCATACGATGATACCACGACTTGATTTTTCTTGCATAATACACCATAGCAAGACTAATAATACTTAATGACACTGTAAATTAGAAAATAAAAAATCCATTGGTGACTTTTCCTAGTATGAGTGATGTCATGAATGTGAATGTTTGTTTTGCCTTCCACTTGAAGCCAAGAGTATTTAGTATGCTAAACAGCAATTTCAAAGAGATCAAATTTCTGAGCATTCAGGAAACGTACAAAATTGACAATCAAGACAGCTCCAACATAGTGCACGCGTGGCAACAGGCAGCAGAATATACATCCCAATCCCAAGCCCCAAGCCCCTTCCCATGACGTACCACCGTCCCCCGCCCTTCTACCCCTGCAAGCCGATCACGGAATTTCTCCGCCCCACCATCATTGTTCCACTCACCCGCATCATCTTCGGCGCATTTGTTAATCCTTTATAGTATCAAATAAGCAAGCTTGCTTCAACAAACAGCCTACAAAACTGGTCGATTAGCTCAGTTGGTTAGAGCGTGGTGCTAATATCTTCGAATGATAACGCCAAGGCCATGGGTTCGACCCCCATATTGACCATTCAGAAATGAATGTTACAGTCAGTCCTTTCCTGAGTTTGATGCTCAGATACTTGGTTTCTTTTTTGATTTTTTATGGGTTGTGTGTAGAAGGAGGTGATTTTGTGGAAGCTTGGAGGGATTTTTCTGGTGGTGTGTGGGAGGAGTGGGCGGTGAAGCTACCAGAATTTTGCCGGCCGAGTGTGGTTGCGGACGACTTCTTTCCTCCATGCTCCACACGTATCACTTTGCCAACAAGCTTCTTTCCCTCTCCCCTCTTCCCTTGTCTTTCCCTCTCTTTTTCTTTTTTCGTGCATTTTCAATATTCTCTGCCATCGATCTCAATCTGCAAAGCTACTTCCGGTAGACGACGGACATTCCAACATCAAACAGCCTTGAAGACGATGCTGCGACGCCATGCAATGCAGTTGGTTCGTACCTTCTGTCCGAATTGGGGGCGACTTGGGCGACGCTCTTTTTCGTCCGGAGCTGGACAATCACAGCCTCTCCTTTCTTCTACCGGAACTTCGAAATTCTGATCGCTCATGCACACATTGATTCAAGGGATCCACCACCGCGTTTCCATGAGAACCTCCCTACCACTCCAATCTGCAAGACTGGAACATATTTTGGTCGACGTGTATTGAACTTCGCCGACTTATTCTTTGCACTTTCCCGACTCTGCAGATGAAATAAGTTCTTCGGTACGGCAGCCTGGACTCTCCGGACAGCACAGTGGCACCTGAGGCTGTGATACCCTTTATTTGTCCACCTACCGACTTGGCCCACTTCGATATGTACCTCAGTACAGGCTAAGATAGCGCGAATGACCTTGTCACTTTGGCCTGCTTGAAGCCGCTTTCTTCTCTAAAGATACAGTCTTTGGGGTTACATATATTGTTGGTTTATGTTTTTCCGGCATTGAACCTTATTTCTTTGTTGGTATTGTAGCAAGTCACTACTTTTTAATGTTCAGTTTCTGTTGGAGCTCGTATTCTCTGCAACCATCATCTCTAGTGAAGATGAGGAGGTCCAATCGCGTTGGGAACCTGAACAATGTGTACTATGTACAAAATTTGGTTTATAGCGCAGGTGACAGGATTGGGAATTGAGTACTCAAAGGACCGGCTATGGATCTTCTTCTAGTACACCGAATTGAGAAGGAACATGTATATATTAACTATCTGTCTAAGGGAAATCAATGCTGTTCTCCAATATCACGTCGAAATGTTGTCTACACCACGATCACCTTGGCAGCTTGCTACGATTCTTGCTTATTTGTTTCTTCCAAATTTTGTTACTCCCCTCAGAGAAGTCGCTTACAATGTCGACGCAAAACTTTAGATAAGCGGATCCCGTGAAGGTTTCTCCCTTGATATTGTAGAGTTACCCATATCCAACACTAATGCCAACATACTGGGACGAGACGAACCTCCCCCAGGCTACCATTTTGCAACAGATCTGAACCCAGAGTAGGCCCAAGAGAGCGGTTATTACAAATACTGTCACTCACAGCTATCGCAGATGGTGTATCGAAATCGGTGTTGGCACTCCGTTCCAGAAGTTACTCGTCACCACTGACTCTAGAGCTCCGGATTTCATGATTCAATCAACTCTCATTGATCCGGTCATGCTAGTCAATAACGCTGCCGTCTATGATCCTCGAAAGTCAACGACAGCGTCCGTGGTTTCTGGCATGAGTTTCCGCCAGGTCTATGCCGGTGGAACTTTAGACTATTCTGGGATCATTATGGCTGACAACCTGAGGATCGGCAACCTTGTTTTCGCCGGTTTTATGTTTGAGTGCACCAATAAGACAAAAACAGTAATTGGAGCCGGCGAACGACCGCAACTTGGATCCCTAGGTCTTAATCTAGATCCCAACGGGATGGCAACCGGACCGACCAGAATTGCTAGTTGGTTTCCGGCCATCATGAGTTATCTTAATGGTATGCCGAATACGGCTCGAATTTTGCATCAAGCTCACTAATTATAATAGTTCCCGTATTTACATTCGATTTCAGCACAAGAACGCAAAAAGGAACGATTGATTTCGGCTACATTGATCCGAAGAAATACAACGGCACCATCGCCTACACTTCTGTTGAACCAGGCTCGACAGAATGGATCGTGGGGATATCGGGCTGGGCCGTTGGCACTACATTTTGGAGAAATTCTTTCAGAATTATTATTGACACTGCTGACAAGGGTCCAATGCGCGTTCCCCGTTGGGCATTAGATAATTATTTCCAATGGGTTTCAAACAACATAACTTGGAGCGAAAAGCATCAGACCTACCAATTTCCCTGCAAGACACAATTGAAAGATGTCGTATGGGGCATCGGAGATCAAGAGAAACGTGGCATTTCGTGGCAAGATCTTGTCAAATACTATGTTGATGGAACAGGTCCAGATGCGTGGTGTATAAGTGATCTGAGAGGGGGGTTTAGTATGGACAATGGTCAAGAGTTATATTTTTGGGGTAGGATGATCCAGAGGACTGTGTTTCTGGTGTTTGACTATGGCAATAGACGGATTGGCTTTGGGGATAAAGATAATTGATTAGCTTGAGAAGGGGGTCGCATTTACACCTTCTGCTGAGATACCACGACGCCAGTTATGCGATGAGAGATAGGAAATCATTATCAATTTAGGTGAGATATAGTATTACGCTGTGAGTGCAGCCCAGTCCCATCTTACATGCTATCCTCAACCTCTGTCTTAACGCGCAATTTCCCGCACACTCCACCCACTTGACGTGTACGCACGCATCGATGTTCCAAACTGGTAAGTAGGTTTACGTCGATATCAGCCATAATGTAGCCTGATAGGATGCGAACAAACCTGCGAGTGTAAGCTGCTCTTAGCTAATGGCATCGTTGAGACAACTTTCTTTGTATTTTGCAAAACGTTGGTTCATCTTTTCCCGAAATTGATCTTACTTATTTGTTGGTCTTGTTGCAAGTTGGTACCGCCCAACATCATATTTCTTCTATGATGTTCTGTTCTTTGTAGCTCTCGATACTAATTGGTACGGGGTCATACATTTATCCTCAGAGCCTATACGTGATTTACTTCGCAAGACGTTGATTCTCTGGCTGGAGTGGCTAGATTGGGACTCATCAGTTGGAAAGTAGCGAGATGAGGTTGGTTTTAACAACATGCCAAGTCAACTGGGAAGAACTATAAGACGGTCCACGACCCAAGTGGTATCAATGGCGGCCTCACCAATACCAGAATGTTAGCAGCATTACAGTCCAAGTTGCAATTTGTTGCGCTGATTGTACATCTTCTGTTTTCAAATCTCGTCACATCTTTGAGCAATGTCGCGTATAATTCCGAAGCTAGCCTCCAAATTAGTGGCTCTCGTGATGGTTTCTCACTCGAAATTGTGACGAAGCCTAGTTCCACGACAAGCACGAAGATACGGAAAAGAGACGAACCTCCTGCAGGTTACCATTTTGCAATTGATGTCAAGAAGGAGTGAGTCATAAACCACACATCTTCTTCATTACTGACAATGGACAAAGCTGGTATATCGAAATCAACGTTGGAACTCCATGGCAAACATTACTCGTCAATATCGACACCGGGGCGCCGGACTTCTATCTCCACTCCATGCTGATCGACCCCGCCATCAGACACAACGCAGTTCTTTACGACCCCTACGTATCTTCCACAGCAGGCCAAGTGGTAGGTTATAGTTTCGCCCAATCTTACGGCACGGGCGCCTTATCGATGTCCGGGCCTGTTGTTCAAGATAACGTGAAGGTTGGCAACCTCGTCATTGCGAAGTTCATGTTCGAATGTGTGAACAAAACAAGTAAGGAGTTAGGCGTAGCAGGTGAACCGTCTCATGGAGGATGGGGAATGAACCTCGACCCCAATGGTATGAACACCCGACCGAACCGAATTTCCAGCTGGTTCCCAGCTATTATGAATTACTTGAACTGTAAGTTTAAATCGCAACAACTAATTTTTGGCAAGACTGACTCAGAGTAGCACAGGTCTTCTGCATCGACTGGAACCGCGCAACAGATACAGGCACGATTGATTTCGGCTACGCCGACCCTGCGAAATACACCGGCGCTATGGCCTACACGCCCGTCGAGCCCGGCTCGCAATTATGGATCTTCCCCATCTCCGGCATCGCTATAGGCACCACTTTCTTCCGTGGCGAATTCCGCGTCATGATGGATACGGGCGACCCCGGGTGGGGATTCAAGATCCCTCGCTGGGCCGTGGATGAATATTTCAAGGCGCTCTTCCCAGGCAAGGGTTTAGACTCGCTGGTCTGGAATGAGCAACATAGCACGTATCAAATTCCCTGCGCAACGCAATTGATAGATATTGTTTGGGGTGTTGGACTTGAGGAGAAGAGGGGGATTGGGTGGAAGGATTTGAAAAAGTATTATATTCAGGGGGTTAGTACTGAGTGGTGTTTGTGTGATGTTAGTAGTGAGCATGGGATGGATAATGGGAAGGAGATTTATCATTGGCCACAGTGGGTGCAGAAGAGGAATTATATGGTTTATGATTATGGGAATAGGAGGGTGGGTTTTGGGGGGAAGGATTATTGAGATCTTGAGATGGAGTATTCTGCTGGGTGGGATAGATTTGTAATTTAAGGGTGGAGTTGCAAAATAATACTAGCAAAGTACTTCTGCCTGTCGAAAACCATTTTATTCTTGTAATTAAGAGGATCAGCATAGTAATTTTTGAGATCTTTCCCCTCGCTTAGAGGCTTTTAAGCCTAGACCATGGTTCGGCTCTTCCCGCCAAACGATTCCTCCCTAAACATCGCTAAGGATTCAAACACTTGCAAAGTCATGAATTATTATTGCATTTACATCTCTATCTGGATTTGGGCTGCAAGGTAGTTTCCTGACGCCGTCATAATGAATTTCTCGCTAGTATGTGTCTCGGACTTTCACAACAGCTTTTCTGCAACTGAATACTTCTTCTACCTTCCAAAGATCCAAATAAGAAACACTTGAGGACATCTTTCACTCTTTGACACAA